TTTTTTCTTTGTTGTTTAAATATAAACAGAAATGTACCTTTTATAATAAAAAAAAGAAGTTGAGTAAAAAAAAACACCACAAACCTGTTAGTTTCAAAAGTGACATTGCTTGCTTAAAGGTTCTGAAGTTAAGGCTTGTTAACTTTATCTTAGTTTTGATTTGAGGCATCCCGTATAGCTGTAGTTGCAGAATCCCAAACTAGGCTACATTTCAAAATTCAGGGCTGTTTAAGATTTAAAATCACAAACGTTAACGGCAGTAGGTGCCACCATGTAAAAGTGAGCTCAGACGTCACTAAAAATGTTTCCTTTAAAAGCACATGGCGGTTGAATCTTAAGGTTAAATTTTAATATGAAAGATCCTCATGAATTAAATAGTTGATGCAATTTTAACATTAATTGACTTAAAAAACAACAAGATTAGGTTTGTAAAAATGACTTTTTCATTATGTGGGTTTTGAAATCTAGCCCCAGACATACAGTGTTGAGAGATACTTAGTGGAAAGTAGGCTTTGAAGAGTTTAATTGGGGGAGAGGGGTTTGCCACCTGAATTGAATCCGATGCAGAGCTTTTTAGCCACAGTCTTTAAATAATAGTACTAATAATTAAAATTTCAGTATTTAAAAAGAAAGTGTTTTGTCCATCTGAGATTCTACACTCCATGAAAAGCTCACTTGGACACTGGGGCCAAAAGCTGATAATTTTTTAAGTTTGACAATATTGAACTGTTCCCAAGGTAGTCAGTGAAGTATGTCTCAACACTAGCATGATATAAAAAGGGACACTGCAGCTGAATGAAAAAGGAATCAAAATCCACTTTGTACATAAGTTAAAGTCCTAATTGGATTTGTACCATCCTCCCATTTTGTTCTTGGAAGATTAAATGCTACATGTGTAAGTCTGCCTAAATAGGTAGCTTAAACTTATGTCAAAATGTCTGAAGCAGTTTGTCAATAAAGTTTAGTCCTTTTTTAATCAAAGTAAATGTGATGAATTGTCATTTTTGTGGGTGGACAATAAAATAGTTTTCTCTTTCAAATAAACTTAAATTAATTATAAAGTTAATGGTCTTGTTAAAATTTGGAGCTTGGAGACATTCTTAAAAGTTGTGGTGGGGATTTTATTTTAAGTTTACCAAAAAAAGTTTATGAGTTGTTAAGTTTTAGTTTAAAAATAACCAAAGCTTTTTCACCCCCTGGAAGTTGTTGAAAACAGTTTTATCTAATCCTATCACAAAATGTAATTTCTGGAGAGAAAAAAAACTAAAACAAAGCTTGGATTGGTTTCCATACAGAGGTGTCAATATTTAAAGTGCCAGCCACCTTGTTCGCATCTTCTATAGAGTCCCTTGGTGGTCCTAAGAGTGACACCAAATAATCTCTGTGAGATTGGAAGGGGATAGCACCTGCTTTCGAGATGACAGTTCAGCAAACTCTGGGTACACTTAAGGGTTTCCCTTCTAATCCCAGAAATGCTATTAATAAATCAGCTGGGCTGGGGCAGGATCTGGCATGATAGGCTGGCTCTGTACTCCCTCCTGAGAGATCAAGAGGAAATGATGGAATTGGTTGGCCCTGTTTCTACTCCTCTGTTAACTTTTAGGGTTTGCATGCCTTCTCTAAGTGAGCCACCTAAAACTGCTCGGGGGTGAAAAATCCTCTTGTATGAAGTGCCAAGCTGCCTGCAGCAGTGCATGATGGACATTTTTTTTCTTTTTAAAACACACCAACAAAAAATGTATTTGTAGATTGTGATAAAGTGTAAATAACTGAATTTTCAACCATGGTTTGAAGTCAGCTTTCAGGGCATTATGTCTTGTTTTGATGAAAAGAGATCACTCTATACCCCCCTTTTTAAAGGAAAATTATCGCAAGAGAATCAGGATGTGTAAAGCTAACATGCATCGCAAAAAACCAAAGGTAACCTAAATGTCTGATTTTAATAGCACATATTTCTCTTTTACATAAACTGTGACAGCAACTTGCATAAACAATTCTTTAGCTGTTAATTTTAATGTTAAAACTTTGAAAAACTTGTTTAATAAAAATAGCTGTAAAAAGAAAAACCATATGCTGCCGCATAAATTAGCCATAACTCTTAATAATCCTGCCCATCACAAGTGAACTGTAATGTAACCTGGGCACAAAGTCTGACATCTTAAATGACACAATGTAAAATTTCAATGACTGTAGATTAGATATGCTCCCCAAAGTAAAGCTTTCTGCTCAGCTATTTTAAAATGTACAAGGATGAGCCCCCATAGGTTCCCATATTGATATTCACAATGAAATGTTACTGAAAATTTCCTTAAAGTTGCATGTTTCTCTCCTGTAATGTATAAATTGCATGCAGGATCTCTATCTTTTATTTTGTATGTCTAAACCTTCCTCTTCAAAAGACTGATCTCTTACTTCTCCATTTTCAGGTCATGGAAAACTCAAGACATTTCCTGGAGTAGAATGGGTATTAAAGACCCATGTCAGGTATGTTAAGGTGTCTTTCTATTAAGGATGTGGGACTTTTATTTATATAAAAGGCTAATATACTAAGTGTCCGAGCATCCAATAAGTCGCTATGACACTGACCACCAGGGGGCAGACGCTCAACACAGGAGCTGCCATGATGCACACTGGCCATTTACAGAGAAACAGCACCATGGACCTGGCACCCACAAAGCAACACTCAGCTTCCCCCACATGGGACACAGGCCCCACCACCACCCCAGAGCAACAGCCCACCAAATCTCAGCCTACGCTGCCGAGACCCCATGGCGTAAAATGCAGCCGGCTTCCTCTCCCTAGCGACAAGCCATTTAACAATAAACAGTACCACGAACCTGGCAGCCACAAAGCAACACTCGGCTTCCCCAAAGTGGGGCACAGGCCCTGCCAACACCCTAGAGCGACACGCCACCAAATCACAGCCAACGCTGCTGAGACCCTACGGCTCAAAATGCAGCCCACAGCCCAGCCCAGCCAGGAAATGGTGACTATGGGCGCCGGGTAACGACATAGCAACGCCTGGCTTCCTCTCCCTAGCGACTAGTCTCCTTGAATCTACAGTAATAGTCTGCTTCGTGTTGATATTTCCAGCCAGTTCTAAACCAGTGCTGAAAGAGAAGTTGGGGTGGTTCACTGGGTTGGAAGAAGTTTAGCTAAATCAAAAAGCAGGTCTAATTAAGCAAGTTTATTCTATATCTATAAAAGGATTATGTTGACTCACACGTGGGTGGTACATATAAAGCTCTCATTGGTGCTGATCGCACACATGTGTTTCAATCTGTCATTGTCGTGAATTTGGTTGACACTTCTATTATAAAGGGCGAATAGCAATATTAAAATATTTCTTCTAATTAATTTCAATGTGCATGAATTTGTGCACCAGGCCACTAGACTATATATATATATATATAAAAGCCTAAGCAGCCGTTCAACCATTTGATCAGTAGCTATGACACACACTGACCACCAGTGAGGGGGCAGACACTCAACACACAGGCATGGAAACATGGAACAGACTGATGAATCTTAGAGGGAAGGAGGGAGAGCAAGACAAGATTAACTAAAGATCTTATATGAATACTAGAGGCCTAGTGCACACATTCATGCACCAGTGGGGTCCCACAGACTGGCCTGTGGAGATTGGGTTGAAACCAGCAGTCCGACATCCCCCAAGGGGTCCCAGATTGCAAGAGTGCGCAGCCCAGGCCAAGGGACCCCACCAGTGCACAAATGAAGAAAGACATTTCCCCCAAAGTCCGTTCTTAAGACTACCCTAGGCAGAACTGAGACACTTTTCTGAATTCAGGGACTTTATCTTAAATTTACCCATTCATGTGACCAATATCATATTCAGGACTTTCTGGATGCCCCAAACCATGCTCAAGACAAATGGCCTTCCTTAAAGTCTTCAAATCTCAGAGGCTCCTGGCTAAGAGGGAGGCTAAGAAATGATATCCAAGAAGGCAAATTACTCTGTCAAAGACTATAAAGTGCCTTTGGCTTAAATAGGTAGATTTTGTCTCCTCAGTGCTATCAGAACCCTAAAAACTTACTCAGGGCGAAGGGGGAAAAAATCATCCAGTTAGTTCCTGGGTGGCTTTAAACACATCCTTTTGTGCCTCTTGCATGTTTGAAACTAGTACTAGCAAGCATCTGATGAATATTTAATAGCCTTGAGCACACAGGCTGCATACAGCTGTCTTGAGATGGCAGCTGTTGGGGGGAGGGGAGGAAGTGTACTGCACTGCCTAACTATTTCTTTTGTTCCCTGGTCTAGCCCTTTAGGAGCAAAGGCCTATCTATGGTGGGTACTATACCCTAGTCCTCTTGTGGCCTGATTGATGCCCTGGGCTCCCAAGGAGGTTATATTCAAGCAGCAGACCAAACCCCATTTTTGGGTAATGGGAGCGGATTATGTTTGCTGACATCTAGAATCAATTTTTCAACCCTGGGCTGGAGGTTCTCTACTCTGTGGCCTTTCTCTGCCTCTGAGACAGATAATGTGTTTTCATCCAGTGTTCTGCCAACTTCAGTTCTCTTTTCTAAAAGGAGGGAGACTTGTATCTGGAAGGGACTTGAATTTCATAATCATGCTGTTGGGTTTTAGCCTCTTAGCATTCCTTGACTACAAATGCAGTAGTAGCTTCTCAGCAGTAGGTGTCCTACTCATTCATAGCCTAAACTGTGGCGATTGGCTGCATCTCAGGCAGGCATTAGGCAGGGGAGTTCTCAGGCAGACACTGAAGCTATCTTTGTGCTTCCTTCGCCTAGATCTAGGGGAACTTTATATATATATATTTTTTTTTATTTATTTTTTTTATTGATTTCAGAGAGGAAGGAAGAGGGAGAAAGAGATAGAAACATCCATGATGAGAAAGAATCATGGATAGGCTGCCTCTTGCAAGTCCCCCACTGGGGATCGAGCCCACAACCTGTGCATGTGCCCTTGACCGGAATTGAACCTGGAACCTTTCAGTTCGCAGGTCGACACTCTATCCACTGAGCTAAACCAGTTAGGGCAAGGGGAGCTTTTTGCTTTAAGAAGACCTTGCTGTTTCCAGGGCACATTTGGAGAGGTTATGGGGGCCCCTGAAAAAAGACAGCCTGTTTGAGTTGTTTCTTGACAGAGTGTGAGCCATGGCCAGGATATCGCCCCAGATTAATCAGGTAAGTAGAGCACACTACCAGAAACTTGGGCACTGTTTCTGTTTGTACTGTTTTAAGATGCCTGAATTAGCTGTTCCCTTGTCAACCTCTAGAGCCCACCTCAGGATAGCCAGTCTCTTCCCCCTGGGCACCATGAGTAAGAACTTGAGATCAAAGTATATGGATTCAGCCCTGACTAGTATGGCTCAGATGGAGCATTGTTCCGTACACTGAAAGGTTGCAGTTCAGATACAGGACCAAGTCTTCTCTGGGGTCTTCTGAATCCTGCAGGCTTCATACTTTCTATTCATGGCCCAGCTTTAGCTATAAAATGGGTACTAACCATTTCTCAGGCTCTCTGGGGTTGGAAAATAGGAAACAAATTGCATCAGCCTTTGAGAAAGAAATAGCTATGCTCTGATAGGATTCTTCATAAACTTCTGTCCAGATATCAGTCCACATGGCTCCTTTTATTCATTTTTCTTAATGCATTCACTCTTATAAGTAGGAATACCTACTACTAGTATGTGCTAGACACTGGAGAGTCAGTGGCAAGTGAACAAGATAAAATTGGTCTCTGGCCCCATGGTGGTTACAGTATATTTGAGGAGCCCTGGCTGGGTAGCTCAGTTGGTTAGAGCGTCATACCATTACACCAAGGTTTCAGGTTCAATCCCCAATTAGGGCACATACAAGAAACAACCAAGAAATCCTATCTAATAAAAGAGAAACATGGTAATTGGCGTACGACCGCTACCCTTCCCATTGGCTAA